CTGCTTCCATCTTCATGCCCTGCAAACAGCTCCCCTTAGCCATCTTCAGATGTCCCTCAGGTCTAGGGCTGACAAACTAGTGTTATGACCTTCTCTGAGGAGAACAGGCCCAGGGAAGGGGCCGACATGGGCAGGGAGCAAAAGAGCAACCTTCCAGGCAGGGACCTCTGGAGTCACAGGTACGGGGAATGTGGTCTTGAAGGGGATGCCCAGGCTCATTCCCTTGGCCCTGCTGACTCCTCCTCACCCCACAGGGAGAGGGATGGCCAGAGGAGGGCCAGAGCAGAGCCCTTGAAAGCACCCAGCTAGGGCACGGGCACCCCCTCCCTTGCCCAGATTTAAGGGTACTTACTAGATCCAGCAGCCTCCAGAGCTCGGGCCAGGGACTGAAGCTGTCTTTCCATTGGAGGGCAGCTGGGACAATTCCTAAACGGGACTTTCAGTCACTTGTATTATTTATCTTCCTGGAAAAATTGAGTGCGGCTTGATCTCAACTTGTGGATTTCTGAACGTGGAGAGGGCCAGGAGGTGATGACAACGGGTCCTTTTTTTTTTTTTTTTTTTTTTTGGTTGAGTCTCTAAGCCAGTTTGTTTTCCTGAGGCATAGCCCTCCCCAAGTGGGCTCCTGCTGCCACTGGTCACTGCCCTGCTGGGACCCCTCTCCTCACCCTGGAGACAAAAAACAGGGTGACTAAGAGAGAAGGTCCAGTTGAGATCCAGGGACCAGCAGGGGCTGGGTGGGTGGGGGTGTGGTGGTGGTTAAGGGCACTGCTCTCTCTGGCCAAGTTTAAAAAAGAACTTTCAACCCCACCCCTCCCCTCCGCAGATCGGCTTTGCTGTCCTACACATGAGGGGACACTTGTAGAGCCCTTACCAGGCGCCAGTCACCATGCTAAGCGCTCTATGTGCATATTCTTATTTAATCCTTGCAGCCACCCTATGAGGTGGGTTCTATTTTACCCCAATTTTACAAGTGGAGAAGCAAACTCAGAGATGAAGTCACTCGCCCAGGGTCACACAGTAAATAGAGGTGAGAGACCCTAAGTCTGACTGACTCCCAAGCCCCTACTCTTTCCACTATAGCATATTGCCTCCCAGGAGCAAGAAGCTGGCACAGAAGCAGGCGGGATGAAGGTCAGATACAAGAAAGAACTTCCTGATAATCATGGTGTCTGAGGTGGGAAGAGACCATGGAATGGGGAAACTAGACCCATCCAGGAAACCGTCCCACCTGAGTTGGATGTATGTCTGTCTGCGGGCTCGTGGTGATCTCTAGAAAGTCCGTGGGATCCTGGCTGGATCCAGATGGTAGCATCCTGACCTCCATGCATTCTACAATCTGGGGTCCTCTGCTCTATCCCAACCCAGCACCACAGCCCAAAGTCTGACTCTCCTTTATGGCTCAGAGCTCTGAGCTGTCATATCTGAGCTGTCAGCCCAGGACCTCCTCTCCCAAAAAGTCTTCCTTGAGGTCCTAGGAGGCAGGACCGCTTTCCTACAGCCTAAATCCCAACACAGAGAGTGCAAATGCACCCCACATCTGCAATAAGCCCACTTCTGTGATCACCTCCCCCATCTGGCTGTGGGACATAGACACAGAAAAGATCTACTCAATCCCTAGGCTCTCTGGGTTCCCCAGTCCATCTGGACCAGCCCCTGCTCCCTTATCCCCCTCACCTCCCCACATCTGTATCCAGGGTGTAAAACAATGATGCAGGTGCCCTGGGGTGCACCAGAAAACCCAAGCTCCAGCTCAGCTATGCAGTGGCTCTTACCTCATTTCCCCAAAAAAACAGAAGTCGTTTGGGCCACTCCATCACCCCCTAAAGGGTGGGGGGTGGGTGTAGGGTGCTGCACTGGATAAAGCACGGGGCACGCTGAGTCAGTGAGGTTCCTTACCAGGAGCCCTGCTGTCACAACTTGCTGTCCTCCAGAAATTTGCGAGCCTAAGGCCCGGCTCTGTCCTTTCCCATCCCTCGGATCCCGCCCCGGCTCCAAGTATAGCCAGCTGAGATCCACTAAACTTCTCCAGAGTTTAGTTCCACCCGCCACCTAGATGCCCAGCATCGGTGCGTGGAGCCAAAAGGGATGTCCTCACTGCCCCTTGGGGTCCCCTAGTTTTGAGACTAGGGCACAGGACAGGTGGAGTGGGCTGCCTTGTTCTCTCGAGCTGCCCTCGAGGTCCTCAGTGTGGACCAGCCCGCGTCGCTGACTTACCTGCGGGGCAGAGACGAGCCCGCCGCGGCCACCTGCTCTCACCGCGCTCCGGAGTGCAGCGGCTTAGCGCTTGCAGAGGAGGGGGCGGGGCCAGGGACAGGGGCGGGGCCTGGGGGAGCCGCGGCCGAGTGCCTCCTTGAGTCTCAGCCGGTGGGGTGGGAAGGCTTATTCAGGTGGGCAGAAAGTGGAGGAGCATCCGGGCCACTAGGGAGGCTCTGGAACTCTGGCTTTTCTGAGGACTGGAAGTTAGGATGCCTGGGTCCTGAGGACCTCATAAAGGGCACTCCTTCAGGCAGCCTTGCCAAGGTGCCCTGGCGGCATTGGCTCCATGTGAAGACTCCCTCATATGAAGAAGCAAGCCCGGGAACCCCTCCTCGCCTGCGTTCCCCCTTCCGTCTGAGCTCAAGAAAGCTCTCTCAGCTTGGCAATATGGGTGTGAGATAGGACACCTCCTCTAAAGCTAGGGTCCCCAATCCAAAAGGTCAGCAATTGTAAGGGCTCAGGCCCCTGGAGGGACCAGTTTAAGGGTCGTACCCAGGGACTATCCTTTTATCC